GCCGCGTAAGGTTTATCGAGTAGTCGTTTTGCATGTACACTAGCATGTCGTTTATTCAAAACACATTTAAGATGACATTTACTTCGATATGACAAGATTAAGCAGAAGTAAACTGTTTATTATATCGCAAGTGACAGACTGGGTTCACAAACACTTTCTAGTTCGAAGACAGAGCGAATGTCTGCGTGTTGGAAGAAATTTTAGGTATTCGCCTTCCTTTTCCAGATTTACTGTTTTCATTGATGTTATTGTACTGGAAAACACTGGTTAAAATTCTGATCATCCTTCTACCAAACGAAACCTCAATGAAGAAACGAATTTCCTCTGGACTGTTGCAGTATTTCTTTTACTAGTCTTAAGAAGGACGAAGTACCTGATTACAACTGTCGAAATCAGTTAATCGCTTTATTAATTTAAATCACTTTGTTTGGGATGCATTTCGTTAATTATCGCACAGCTGTCATCATCCTGGCGCAGCTATCGTTTGAAAATCGCCTCGATGGTGGCGATGGTGCGTTGTATCGAAATTCGCTGATAAACTAGAAATTTTTTATCAGCATTTTTAACAATTTCTCTGAATCATGGATTTTAAAACAAAGATGATGAGTTGTTATTAAACAGGTAACAAACTGAAATCCCTCCCGTAGATGTTATAGTTTTATGAAACGGATAATTTTGCTGTATATTTAAACAAACAAAGTTAGTGCATTTTGATATTATTACTTAGTGATCTTTCTTTCTGTAAAATGAGTGTAATTTTAATTCGATCTAGTTGATTTTGGAATCGCCGATATGTCCGTCACTTTACATACAGATTTGGGAGAAATAAAAATGGAGCTTTACTGCGAAAGCTGTTCAAAAACATGTGAAGTAACTTTCCTGTCTATTATTCTCGCACCTAAATAAATTCTTGTTTCCTTTTGCAGAATTTCTTGGCGCTGTGCGCCAGCAACTATTACGACAACTGCTTGATTCACCGAAACATTAAAGGATTTCTGATGCAGATGGGTGATCCATCAGGAACGGGTAAAGGAGGAACAAGCATTTGGGGTAGAAAGTTCGAAGACGAGTTTCGAGAAGAGTTGAAAGTATGACGTTAATGCTGAATCCATAATATGAAGTGCTTTAAACCTGGCTTAAATTTTCCGTGTTTGTACGTGTTAAACGAAATTCCTGCTAATAACAGATATGCAAAAAATAATATCGGTACCGAACTACTAATTGATATAGTCCGACCCATCTCCGTATGACGGCGGGCCAAGTTCAAACACTGTCGCAAACGTTTTCCTAATCGCACATAGATTGATTTATGCTAATTATTTTTACGCAGTATATTTTACTTCACTGTTGATCAGATCTCATACTTACACCCTTTCATTTCTTAGCACCTGTTTTGATACTATAACTTCAACTCTCGGTTTCACTCCCATACAATAATATCTTTCCTCATCATATTCAGGTTCTGTAAATAATTATTTTTCGTACACATTTCTTTCACGCTACATTTGCTGATTGCAAATTAGTAAAATTTTTTCATTAATCTGAGCGTCATCCTAATATCGGAGATATCTCATGCAGAAAGTTATAAAAATTTCATCGATAACATGTTAGAGCAGAACTGAACCTACGTGATTCATACACCCGTTTACTCGTATTTCTCAGACGTATTCATATCATTGCTCGACTGAAAACACTCTTACTTCAACCACAAAAGAAAACGATTGCTACTATTCGGCACTTGTTTGTGGAACACATAACACCTATAAGTTTCACTCCTTTCCTGGGCTGAATGTTTCCCTGCAGGGTATTTTTTGTTATGGGCATCATGCCTCGCCGAGTAGTTCAGATCCTAAGCTGGTTGTAGGATCGAATAGTAGTTTCGTAGTTTGATTATCCTGATATTAAGGAAGAGGTCTTCTGTATCTTCTGAGAAACGTCTAACTCCATGTTCTCTGGTTGCTCGCACATATCCTAGATGATCTTTTGTTTAGGGCTGAAGCTGCCTCCGCTTCCTAGAGCGGCGAAAACTCTCCTCCTCTGGAAGGATATGGGAAAGGCTGTATTTTATGTTTGTTAAGGTCGTACGTCACCGTGAGTCGTCACCTTGTGCTGTCCATTGTATTGGCAGCTTTTCAACGCTATTTGGTTATTAGGCGCCGGTTAGTGAGTCGTAGATCTGCTTTGTTTCGATTCCACACGAAAAGCTCACAGGCTATCGTAAATGGTGTATACTTAATCAGTTTGTCTGAAGGGGCCAACTTTCGTTTCTGAATTTCCACATTTATGGAAGACATCTGCGCCCAGAACAGGAGAGAATTTCCCCTTAAACAGTACTGCCATTATCCTTTATTATGCATCGAAGCAAACAGTTTTGCATTCAGTTCAGCCGTTGTTCTTACCCATGTAAAGTAACACTGACCTGATAGATGAAAATTACGGGCGGATTTTTGTGAAAGGAGATTTTTTCTTAACGGTTCAAATATTGGGCAGGTTTCCAAAACAGTTTTAGGCTGGGGCGATCCTCTTATTTAACTGTGGTTGAATGATCAAGCTGAGGTACTTAAATTGGTCACCCTAAAGCGATTCGTATCCCTGTTCAACTTGTAAGTCAGCTGTTCCTTATGACTGTCATCTACGTAGTTCAGGTCAGCAGGATATTTAACCCAGTATCTTGAATTGTACCTTTTCTGTAGAATGGCACATTCCCATTTACCAAGGCCAGCATTGATTCAAAAAAAAAATTGAGAACAATGTTGAATAGCAAAGACGAAGGGAAAAAGCATATCACTGGCGAACTCCGCAGTTGATAAGGAACCGCACAGGGTGGGG